CATCCATCCATCCATCCATCCAAGCACATACAAACATTCATGCATCATATGTGCATATGTACACTTGCAGTGACTTGCAGTGCATACATGTACAACACAACCTGCACGAACGACGTATTTTATATATCACATACAATTTGGCCGTAAGACCGCGATGAATTACGTCGAATGTGGTATAGGATATGCAGTGCAGGGTCAGGGGCAAGCGGCTTAGATGACTGCGGAAGTGGTCGAGAGCCCGAGAGAGAGAGAGAGAGAGACTGCGCGCGAGCGAGCTGTAGTTGTGCATTCGGTTAGCTACTGGATCGAGCGGATCCCAATTGATTTTGACGTGTTTTGACATGCCTTTCTGTGTGCTGTCTCGTGCCTTTCTGCTCGAGGAGATCCGCAAACGGCGGTGCTCGAAAAGCTGCTGGACGCCTGCAGTTCTGACGTTTATCAGTTTGGAGGTACGGACTATAAGGGAGCTGCAAAGTTTTTAGGGTGTTCCTCACGCTGGTTTTGACTCGCACGAAGTGATGCGTGGTTTCTGAAGAGCAGAATTCTCTCAGCATTCTGGGAGACGGCAGTGTTTGGGCACGTCTTCGATCTTATCGTCTGAGCAGCGAACATGACATAGCACCACAAGAGTCACAAGATCCCGGCTCGAAGATCGCACGGTCACAGGAATAGCGAGGAAAGCACCAGGATGAAGTTTCGATAACTTGAAGCTGACGATACAGGAGTCTGAGCCATGCCCTGACCCTGGCAACTACGGCAGAAGGTTGGCCGTATGGAGGTCTGAAAAGTCGATGTTTGGGCAGCAGAAAACCACTGGTGCAGAACCCCCCCCCCCCCCCGCCCCCCAAAGCGCCTCCCATGCGCCCCACAAAGCCCTGGAAGTCGGCAAGAGTGATGCGACCATCTTTGTCCTCGGCTGAAAAGTGCGCACGCTGGTTCGGCCTCGAAGCCACGGTGGTTCGGGCTCCACCAAAAGCGGGCGAGGCTCCAGATCCATGAGGCTGGCCTCCTCGAGCCCCCAACCGAGGTAGGCGCACCTGAACTTGCTGCGGCTTGCTTTGTATGGCAGCTTTGGTTTGAAGCATTTTGAGTCTCCGCTTCACTCGATGCTCCCTCGAGGGGAACTCTGCAAGCACATGTGCCAGCATGCGGCGTTGTGGCACTACGGGGTTTTCATGATTCAACATAGTTCTCACCCAGGCTCTCGACACTTTTTGACAATAAAAGTGCAGTGTTGGCCCTGGGCTGCAAACCCTATGCAATGAGGATTTGGCAGCACTGGTCTCTTGGCCAGGCAACATATTCTTGCATTCGTTGGCGTCCAAGTGCCCAGAAGAATCGGCATCGAAGCGTCGAAAAGCCTCGACCAATCATACAGACCCTCCAGGAATCCAGGATCGACCATCGATGTGTGCACAAATCCTTCGCTTGAATCCACATCCATATCGGAACAATCTGCGGCCCTGGCAAGTATAAAACCGCCCATGTGCTGAATGTGCTTGTTACAATGACTATCGACTGTCACGCCAGCACACATGCACCTCCTCTTGAGACTGAATGGAGCCTCAAACTACCCAGTGCCCAGGGTTCCACTTGCCCAAGGCAGCCCGGAACCTCTGACGCGACTTGCAACATTTCTCAGGGCCTCGGCGATTTGGCGCTGGTCCGTGCGTAGGCCTCACACCAGGGCTTTGGCTTGGGACATCAATTCAGCATCGCAGGTTTAAGAATAGATGCCCTCTCTTCCCTCTTTGCATCCTTCTTAGTCTTCTTGCTCCTCTTTTCCGGGGCCGTTGCATCTCCCTACCTCATTCCCAGCTGCTAGCTAACCTACATGAGCACGCATTTTCATGACCGCAAGCCCGCGGAATACTTCACAGAAAGGGTGTCAGAGCTTGGGGTGGCATTTCCAGCCCAGGGTCTTGCCAGCAAACGCCGGAGCGAGTCCTGCCCAATGCAGTAGCGATCTGAAACTGCAAGTCAATCCCAATCCAGAGTGACATGGAGTGGCGCACGCAGGAGAATGCTACGGTTCGAAACATTAGGCTTGCCCAACCCAGCTCCTGTGCGTCACCAAACTTCTTCTTGACAAACGACTCCCGACACCTCCAAGACAGGGCACAGCAGACCGGCGATTCCGTAAGCGCTCAAGCGAATGTTGGCAAGTGCGCATGTCACCTACATGGTAGACAGGGGGACAGGGAATAGATCCCATGGAAGAGAACGGCTGGTGATCTTGGCCAAGTTGTACAGACAGCCTCCGCATGTCAGAACAGAGGGAGAGGCCCCAAGCTAATCGGATTGCAGCCTGTCCACTTTTCTTCCAAACTGGCCCAAGCCCATTCACCAAGCTCTGTCGACTGACTCCCAGCACCTCTTCACCCAGTACTGGAGTGGATGGACCGTCGCTGCATTTTGGTCAGGCTCCAGATACCTGCATGCTTGGCATCAGACACGTCTTACGATGTGCAGGGTTGCAGAGATGAGTTTTGGTGGCACTGGGTAGGACTAGGATACCACAATAATTTAATCCTAAAGGAAACGGTATAAGCTGCAACAGAAATGCACAGCAGCCGGACTTGACACAATTTTACGGTTAGTTATACGTCTCGTCTCATCCTATCCCAGGTATCCTCGCCGCATCAGCTGAGCTGAAACTCCAGGTCCAAGCGGCGGATGAGCCCGAAGCAGCTCCTTAGTTGTCGATTCTTTTTCTGCATGAGGCTCATGTGCACAGTACCGGGGGGTCAAGTGATCGTGCAAGACTCGTCCAGCTGGAGCATGAAGCTAGCTTGCACCCAGGTGTCCTGACGTATGCGAGGTGTTGCAACGGCACAGTTGAGGCATTGCTCGGGTTCCAGTGGCGCTATGCGCTGAAGACGATTTCGACGAACACAGACGAATCACTTGGCAGCCTGCTCGAACATTCAGCGAACAAGGAAAGCCCTGTTGAGGAGCCCTGCTCACCTACCCGCGACCTCATCCAGGCACAGAGTGGCACCGGCAGCTTCGTGGAGTTTGCTGTGGTCTACATGTCTACAACGGGCGGTGACAGGGTGGTGTGAATCCTTGAGTAGCTGCCAAAGGTCGAGTCCTGTCTACTTGCTGTGCCAACTGCGGTGTGCTCAAGTAATAGTGTCTTGCTGTGGTAGAATAGCCATAATGCCGGTAATGTCGGTGATGGCGACATACCGATAGCTGTGGTATGTATGTATATTTATGTTTATACGCAGGACTTTTTAATGCAGGTCCAGGCAAGCAATTGTCCTCACAGTCGTGTATATGCACATGGTAACCATTCAGTGCAAAATACTAGATACTTTTAACAGAGACTTTACATTTCTCTCACCACTAAACTCGCAAATATCAAGCAAACCAGCACGTCTTAGCCTCTCATCACCCCTCTCTGCCCAGTGCGCCTCAAGAGTGAGGCTCCCAGAATAAAGCCTGGGCTGGCGGTTGTGGCCCGAACTTTACAAGGGTGGCACCTGTTGTCGGATCCCTGGCAGACGACCTGAGCCCATGCCTTGCCTCGCACCTAGCCTAGCTGGACCTTAGCTAGGACGAGCCCGCATTGCAGGGTTCAGTCAGAGCCCTGAATCCAAGCGTTCGACTCCGGCTTGGCGTCTGGTGAACAGTTGCCAAGGACTGCCAGGCAGCTGTTCGAGCATGCTTCCCGAGCCTCGTTCCATCTCCAAGCCCTTGGCCTCCCAGTCCAGCAAGCGCACAGGGGTCGCACGACCGTGAGGGATATTTGCATATTGTGCGCCCGAACAGCTACATGGATAGGGCAGGCAAGAATCACCATCCTGTGCAGATCTCGGCCTCTGCAGCAACTGGAGGTGGGGGCGGTGGCTCGCTGTTTTCCTCTGGAAATATCCATTCCAGAAAGGAGGAAAGGTGGATTCCATCCTCCTGGCCAGACAGTTTGGGGGGGGGGGGGGGGGNNGGGGGGGGGGGGGTCTGTCACATAGATCAGCTTCCGGGTCTGGAAAGATACACGTCTAGACTTCGTAGATCAAAGTAGTCAAGTAATAAGTAGTATCTCGCATCATGGCGCAGGGTGCAAAAAGCCATGAGTTCCCAGCTCCACGGCCTTAATCGCACCCGAAGCAGCAGCCAGCGTTTGCACATGCTGCTCCTGGGCCAAGCCAGCAAAGCTTTCCCGACAATCGTTTGTTGCAACGACAAGCTTGAAAGATTTGACATCTACGAAATAAGGATATCCTGTGGCAGGCAGAAATTGCTAGTATATCTTGCGCGGCTGTATCCGGCCATGTCTTCAAATTCCAAGGAAAGGTTTTGCTCACGATGTGCGCCCAGGCACGGGGATCTCCAATGCCGCCAGCACGGCAGAAAGGTGGACCACCTGCGCATCCCGCAGCTCGTTCAGAAATGCAGAGACAAGGCCACTGACAGAATGTTTGTCATGGGAGCGGGCACTGGAGGCTTCGCGCACCTGAATCTTGTCCTCGTGGTCTGCTAGGCCAGCTTGGCGAACACTGCCTGAGTCGCGTTGCTCCACAGTCATAGGCCGGTGAAGCACAGAAGAGTCCTGACTGCCGGCAAGGCACGGGCAATGCTGTCTTTGGCACTGCGCCGGCTGCTCCTGAGCCGACACAAGAGGCTGTGCAGACCGGCGACCGCAGTGAGAAACCTCTGAGACTCTGAGCGCAGAGAGCAAAAGCTCGCAACCAACTCGTTTCGGCCGGGGTTCTTTGCACCAGGATCGGCAGAAGCCTGGCACTATCGCCCCGGTAAAGCATCTTACTGCATGATTCCAGCCCGTTTATCTGATGTTCCGTGTTCTTGCTGAGCTGGGGGAATTCTGCCAACTGTAGAAATCAAAGGCCGTTGCGTCTGCCGGGGACGGGCTGCTGCTGTTACACTATTGCTGGTAGTGCTCCTGATGCGAGCTGCAAAAAACACCCAGCAGCCCTGCCTTGCCTCTGCTCCACTCCCGTGACCCGGCTTGGCCGGATCAGGCGGATCAGGTGGAGGTGAAGCAACAGCCTGGCATGCCGGACGGGGTGCGGCAGGAATCCCACGCACTTGACTATGATCTTTGTCTCGAACGAGTTCTTTCATCACCAGAGAGCCTCCGCAATTGCAGCATCTGCGGTGTCCTCCGCAAGCCTTTGAACATTCCTGTGACAGGGGACACTATAACAGCGCATCTACTTGCACATGCGGCATCGGCCGTGATCTATGAATTTGTAGCAGAAGGTGGGGAGCTCCAGTTGCGATGCAGCCCTGCAAGGCTCCCGTCAGCTCGCATCCATTTTCCGAAATGCAAGCTTGCCACGATTGAACTCAAACCAGAGCTCTGGATGGGTTTGCCCTCCTCAACATCCTGAGCCTAAGGTTGTCCTCAACTGCATCTATGAGAGCAGATTTATCAAACATGAGCATCTGATTCTCGAATTCAGCCGGCTGCTTCGGGAAGCTGGATATGGATGGCGAAGCTGCATTTCATGCACCAACCGTAAACTTGTAATTGCGAATGAACCCTCTTCAACTCCAGAATCCGAACGTCCTCCTAAGCCTTCGCACCTCTGCACCTGCGGAGTCCACAGTGCAAAGGCTGGATACTGCGACCAGGCATTCACGGGCGCGGCCATGGGGGATGCCAAGATGCAGGTTGCTTCTGTTTAAAAGGTTCTTTCCTCAGACGACAAGTCGGTAAGGGTCTGACGCTTGAGTTCGGCTGCGGCAGCACTGCCAAGTCATGGTTGAGGAGGGGTGTGGGCTAGATGTTATTCTAAGTTCAGGCAGAGGTTCTACCCTCATTGATCATCTGATACCTGTAAGCCGCAGTCACCAGGCTGTGGAATCCTCTCGGAGCGTTTCTTGACGTGGCTCAGGTTGCAAACACTTCACGAAACCAGCCCCGACGAAATGCGACATGCTACACGCATGAATCGAGACCCTCCAGTTCCACCAAATTTGAGTCCTCGGGCCTCCAGACTTCCTGGCTAGGCATGTGTGGCCCGGAGATTCCGCCATTTCCAAGACACTGTGCCTAGCAGCCTAGCATCTGTCCTAGCTCGAGTCGGAAGCCCGATGTGATGTTTGAAGTTGCTCTCAAAGACCCCGCAGGCCCATCAAGACTGCCCGAGCAAAGCCAACGAAGCTCAACGATGACTGTCGAGGTCGCTGCCAACCTGCGCTGCTGCTCGTCCTGATTCTGGCCCGACTCATGACATGTGGTCGATTCTGCTGTTCGCTCTTGCATAATTACGCAACCAGCGACGACGCCTTCTACTGATGCCGAATAATGAACAGGGCGACTGCTGCCACTGCAGCTATCGGCAGTGATGACACCGACCAAACAACCGCCAACACTCGACTTCAAACTTATCATATTAAATTAGGCATTTGCAGTGCCGACGCAATGTGGCCCAAATTCAACTCAACTCACTCCCGGCCTTCTCTGCCAGTGACTGCTGGACGAGCAAACGCCTTTGGGAGTGCAGAGTCCGTTCATACAAGTCTACCTCTAAGTGTTTGATAAGCACGACACAGCCTAACTCTTACAGTAATAGCTCGAAAGGTGAGCCAAGCGGTGGGAATGTGCGCACCATTGCGCTACGCTGTTCAGGCTGTTGTCTTGTTGCGGATCACCGAAGCGAAAGTGTCCTTTTGAACGTGCGCAGCCCGAACATACAAAGGCAACTGAGCAAAGAGGCGTAGAGTTTCAGATAGCTACGCCTTTCCACTTGTGGAATGCAGCCGTGTTTCTCTGAGCTCCAAAGAATCCACATCCGATGCACCGAAGGAAACCGGTATTGTGAACCCGGCCGCCCGATCCAATCAAGTTCTTCTCGGCTCTGGGCTTTTCTTCGAGGTCGCGCTGCAGCTGCAGTTTCCGCTCATCCTCGGGGCCACGTCGGAAAACTCTTCCAACTCTCGCAGCCACACCGCTGCCTTCCGGGCGCCGCCTGGCAAACCTTCGTTTTGGGGCCCGCTACCCAATCTTCAAAAGCCTTGGGACCGTTTCAGCACAGTTCATCTCACGGTCGCAAAAAAGTTTCATGCGGCTTTGCAAGATTCGCATCTCTAGCGATGTTGAATCACGATTGAACTGCCTGGAACTGTAGATTAATTGCAGAGAAAACACCTGTTTTGTTTGCCCGGCGATTCATGTCGGGTCATGTTTCCTTCCCATTAACGTAAGATGCATTTTCATACTCATACTGAACCACTAGCCTTTCATGCAATCCTCGCTAAACCCATATGCTGAGGGCTCGACAAGACACTTACTCTTCATCTCAAATTCCGTCGCCTCTGCATGGACTTCCGCCATCCTCCCACGTGTGAGGACGGGGGAATGCTGGCACTTGACATGGGTTGTGAAATGCTGATCGCGACTTGGACGTATCTTCCGCATGTTCAACTGATTTCGTTTAAAAGCGTCGACCGCCTGTTGTCAATGAATCATCGCAACATCCATCAAACAGCCACGACCGCTAATCCATAGAAGGAGCCTCAAACTCTGCTTCTCCAGCTGCTCGCGGTTGTCTTGGAGCTCCTGGCACGAAACGACCCTGAAGCCTCCGAGAACCACTGACGACAGCCTGATTGGCCCGGACTTTAGGCGCACGAACCTTGCAGCAAGTGCAGAAAGCCCCAATAGCGCCCGCAAACCTCTAAAGGCCAGATACTTGATGTCTTGAGGAGGTTGGGTAACTGACCTCCGGCCTAAGGCCTCCAGGCCTTTCGCGAAAACAGTAGACTAAGCCACAAAAACCGCTCAGCCGCGCCTATGTCTGGATTGCCCAGAAGCTCTTTTAATCTGCATCTTACAAACAAGCTCTCTGGGACAATGTGGCTACGAATCTCCCAATGGAAGGCTGCAGCATCCTAGGAGTTTCGGTCTGGCTCGGGTACGGGTAGGGTCTGCTTTGGTTTGGTGTTCAAGCTATGCACATCCTCCAGGCTTTGGAAGAACAACGAGACACCAAATTGCCCTTTGAGACCTGGGCTATGCATATGTCCTTAACCCTAACAAACCTAAACCCTAAATTTCCCTAAATCTTAAATGCCAGAACCCATCGGCCTTTTCGAGCTTCTCAACCTGCAGAGGCGGGGAGCGACAAGTTTTGCAAGCTCTTTGCGCTCGACTTGTCTGCCAGTTGCCGAATGCCGGTTCCATAGCGCTGGGTGGGCGCTCCCGGCATGAGATTGGTTGGAACAAGTCGCAGTCACAACAGCTGCAGCTTGCCTGAAGCGTCTGCTGGTTAAGTTTCGCTGTCTTCTGCGCAAGGACGGCCTTTGCCTGAGTTCAGGATGAGAACTAGCAGTTAGTATAAACTCTAGACTCTAGAACTGGCATAACTAGCAGGCAAGTAACTGTAACTATTGCAAATTTAATTACTAGTAGAAACAAAACCATGCAAACAAGAATGAGCGAAGGAGACTACTACCGATGCAGAATTGAAACGAGTAATAAGTAGGGCAGGACACCACTCCGACAGTTAAGGAAGTAGTCACACATTGCTCAGAACACTAGCACTGGGAAGCAAAGTAACAAAAGCTCGTCAAAGCAACACTAGGCACCAAGCACCATGACACCGTCTCAGGCTCTTTCATCAGAACCACCACAAGGCAAGAATGACTTCATGAAAGCTACCCGGCTCTCAAACTGTAGCTTTCCCATACCGGGTCTTGGCCAAATGTCGCCCTGCTGTGGGGTCGAGGGAGTGGCCGCGTCTCGTCTAGGCCTTGCTATCACAGTGTGTATATATATATATATATACATTATATATATATATATATATATACTATTCGAGGGCCGCGCATCCTCCACAGTGGAACGCACAGGAGACTCGCCATCCTGCGCCGTGCCATGCTGTGCAACTTTGACTGCCTCATTGAAATGACACTCTGTTTTCAAAGGCTTGTTTAAAAACATGCCTGGTACAAGCACAAGGCTGGAAACACGATTGGCAGGCCAACGAGCGAACTTCTAGTACTTCTAGCACGTACGTTTACTCTACAGCACTCGGATGAAGCCCTACTGTAGACAGGACTCTGGGTAGGCCCTTCTGGTCTCGAACGCTGCGCTCCCTTTACCCTTGAGTGCCTTATTCTGATGTTGAAGTCATTTGCAGGGTCCAACAGAATCGAAATCTTTGGCTCAGGTTCGGCCTCTGCGCGAAGCCCATGTAACTCTTCTCGTGCCTTTGCGCCAAAAATGTTAACATCAAAGCAATGGCTGATTCAACTCCGGCGTGATATTGATTGTGTTCGGGCTGCAAAGCGCATAGCGAGTTCTATGCCACCTTGTCACTCTCAACAACAAAGAACTGAAGATGAATGAGATCACCCTGTGCAAGCAGAAGGGCTGGAAGATGCCCCAGGAAAAAATCTCCGGTTGTTTGATGAAGGCCTTTATCAAGCTCGGGCCCTGGCCATCTCCAGGCGCTTCGTGGTCTCTCGACCCTTTTCCTCCACTTCGTCAAAGCGTCGCTTGGAGACCTCCCAAGGTGAAAGGACCCCATTTTGGGGTTTCAGGGTTTAGGGTTTCGGGGGGCTTGGAGTATGAGGAGATTCTTGCCGAGATGGTTTCCATTGACCAGAACTGGCACTTGGTAGTCTCGGGCTGATAACCTCACATGTCAAGCGGGCCAAGCGGTGAGCAGCTTTATTCCGTAAGTCTGCCGTCAGAGCTGGGTGGACCTGGTTTGCACAAGTCCGCAAGTTGTGTTCCCTCTCCACTACCATGCGGCGGCTGCCTGCCCTGTGTCTCCTGTGTAATTATCACTGTCTCTCTCCCTCTTCTCTCTCTCGGGCGTGAGGAGCATGTCAAGCTTCTCGGGCCACAGGCCCACCCGCAGTCTTTGCAGGTTTGTGAGGAAGCAAAACACGAGAAGAGCAGAGGGTAGACAGTCAAGTATCTTTTCTTTCTTTCTGCTGCGCTTATAGGGTCGGTTAGGCATTACTGTAAGCCCGCCCATGCCCCCGTGTGTTAGTGGGTGGACGGCATTGGGGTTTCAATGCATAGGAACTGTTGGCATGGGGTGCTGCAGGCTTCCGAGATAAGAGCCCCCGACCGGGTGCACAAAACAACCCAAACACGCGCCTCATCTCCGCGCCCCTGTGGCACTCATCGGTGAAAGATTTGCGCACAGCTGAAAACCAAAGTGTTTTGGGGAAGGAAAAAGAATGCCGATTGAATTGTTGTTCCCCCCCGGTAATCACTGCTGAGTAGCAGCAGTGCTGAGCATGCACTGCAGTTGGATGGATCAGACTTCGTCGCCCAGCGACGGCCAGGCACCGTATTTGCTAGCTAGCAAGCCTTAAAAATGAATTCTTCTGAATGAGGAGGTACGTGGTGCATTTGCCAAAGTGGCGCGCAGTATGCATTCATCCCGCGGCATTAGGATGACAAGCACGTAAACCCAGGGCCGCTTGAGCAAACAGCAACAAGCACTGTGGCAACATGTATCTCTCTCTCACTCTCTCTCTCTGTCTGGGCAGAAGGGCCTGTCGAGGCCCCTCAGACCGAAGGCTCACCCGTTGTCGGGGCTTTTAGAAGCAGCGTGCAAGCCCAGCACACATCAGAGTGCCATGGGATCGACGTAGATCTCTCGTCCCTCCCGATTTCTTTCTCCGCTTTCGCTATGTCTCCCTGTTTCTCGCAAGAGGGCCACGGTGCCGGCCTGACGCGCGTGTTTATAGTGCTCACCCAGGTCTTGTGGGGCGAAAGGTTGGGCATCGACGAGGCAAATCAGTTCAAAAAGTTGCGTACTGATCCACTCGTCAATCTGCGCACCGACATGGATACTGCAGGGCGTAGGGGTCGATTCCTCGACCCTCAGGCCATATCCATCTCTCTCTCTCTCTCTCTTTCTCTATCTTCTCTCTAGAGACACAGGCAGGCTCTGTGTCTTAGCAGAGCTTGGAGACTGGTTAGGTTCCCCCTGCCACCAGGGCCCCCATATTTCTGCAGAAAGGTACGCTGTGGGGGCCCGTGTTTCTCGTGGCTTTGGACGGACGTGAAAGCTTGACGGAAGTATCAGGAGGGTTAGACTGGCATGCCAAATGTGACATGGCGGACTCCGACGATCTTGAGCTTTTGGAAGCACGAGCACGAATTGCAGCATTCCCTTTTGCGGAAAGACATGAACTAGTATTGCAGTAGACACAGTTCAATCAATGTAACCCCCAGAGCCAGCAATCAACTACGTGAGGGTTGCCAGGCACTGGGGCACTGGGGTCCCCCGCGGGAAAAGGATCACATGTGAGGAAAGACGAAGCAGAACTGCAGCATGAGGACACTTGGAAGGAACCAGTTGCTTGGCCTACTTGCACGATTTACGGGTTCATGTCTTTCTTTCGCCAAGGCCATGGTGAAAGGAAAGGGTTTGGCCATCTCCATGTCCTGCTTGCTTGCTTGCTTGCGCGGGGTATGGGCTCCGAAGAGCCCTGGCCCGAGGGCCTACCCCCAAAGGTTCGCGGCGAGTTCAGTCAGCGAGGCTTGTTCCGGGGGTGAGAGAAGGGCTCGTTGCCCTCTAACCCCCGGCCACAGAAAACACCCCTCTCGCTCTCTCTGTCTCTCACACATCTAGGGTCCCGATCAAAGAACCCCACCCCCAGTTGGGCGCCCCCTTTCGCGCGATTTAGAGTTTGCTCTCTGTCCCTCTGTGCCGCGTGGCAAGCAGGTCCAGTTTCCCTCGTTCACTCGGTCTGCGATGCTCTTACGTTCCAAGACCCTGCTCATACAGAAAACTATAGCAGTAGGGCCTGTCTCAGCTGAAGGGCCGTATGCCGTATGCTGTGTGAAACCTGGCCTCCAGGGCGGCCTTTGCTTCGGCTAAGCTCGTTCGGGTCTGGTCCTGCCGGGCAGAGCCATTCTTCTACTAACTGCGACGACGACGACTGCGACAACACCGGCGGCTATCACTACCACTACCGCGACCAGTACTACTACCACCGCAACAACATGCAACCTCCTAGAGGAAGTTCTCATGACTGAACCTTAACTGCACCTCCGCCCGTGTTGGAATGCGAGACGAGAATTTCTGCGGCACTAAAGACAAAACGATGTTGGCGCCCGAGCTCCGTGCCAGCTCGGCTGACAGCTGCTCTCGCTGCACCATCTGAGCAGTGTCAGTATGGCGGAAGAGCTCTTCGATATGTCCATATCAAAGTGCATCATAGTCCATGGCTGTCTTTAACCGAGCACGGACCCTTTCGTGTCAAAGTCCGGCCGGCCTCCTTCTCCACACGAACTGTTTCCTGCAGCGGCGGCTCTTGCTGCTTGCTGAACCACGGGCAAACAGAGAAGCGCGGGGATACCTATGTGGGTCAGCCAGCCTGCTGCTGAGATGAAGGTTGCTTTCACAGGCCGTCAGAGCAACGTCCGCACAGCTTGTACATCAGTGAACGACTACTATGTCTTGCTGGGCTCCTACAAACCCGACGGACGACCTTACCAGACGGCAGCCAGAGGCAACAGCACTCCACGCACCGCATGCTGCCTCCATCTTCAATGACTTCTCCTTCTCTTCCAGAACAGCCTTCAAAGCATGCAAGAGTCGCTCCTGCCCCTAGCTCTGATATAGGTCCAAGTCAGGGAACTGGAAATCCACGTGCTTGTGAACAAGAGCTTGCTTACACAAAAGGTCTTAATGTTGCTGTGATATCCCAATGATTATACAGGAAAGCTGTGCGCCTTCCGCCCCGCCAAAGAGCTTTTCAATTCCAGCACCTCCAGCTGATTTCCGGTGCTGTGCCTACTGCTCAGATACAGACGGACTCACAGCCCACAAATGAACACCGGCCGCAGCAGCCCCGACCTCCTCTACAGCACTACAAATGTAGCAATCAAAAGCCAAGGGCAGCCAGTGGTACCTGTCGCTTGGATTGATCGATGTCTTTGGCCAGGATCTGGCAAATCTGAAAAGGGCACCCCAAGTGACGACAACCGCAAGAAACACCGAAAACTGGAGAGGTTTCGACACTCGCACTCGCAACAAGGCAGGCAAGGATCCACACTAGGTCGATGCAAAACATGCTTCAAGCACCACAGACTCTTGTACAATCCACCAAACAAGCAACTAACCAACACTTACAACCAACGGCCCTATCAAACACACGCGAGAGCCTGCGACATACAGGGACTCAAGGGCCCTGGGACTATCTCAACGTAACAATCGGGGACCAAGGCCAATAGACCAAGCTTCGATACAAAGAGGCCAAAACAGTCGTTACTCACCACCTGGACCCCGACTCCAGACTCAAGACGCCGCACAACTGATTCACAAGAGCCAACTGTCACGGCACCATACAGAGAAACCCACCGCCCTGTGACCGCATACACCGGGCCCGAGCCAATCCCTGCATGACAATCAGCTACCTGCTAACTACCACAGTCCAGAGCATATTAGCCCGAGCAGTGCCTCCTCCTACATACATCTCATGTCACACCGATTGCCAGCAACCACAACGATGTGACCCAGTGCTTTTTCAGATATCTACAGGGCCTAAGCCACGACCTCCCTGCTAATCAGCTGTCCAGATACAGCTTCAGCACATTGGCCAAGGGAATAGCCATGTCACACCAACTCAGACGCACCCTCCTGTCTACAATGGAGAACAGGCTTGTGAGCAACGAGCACACTTTCCGCGAGTAGTGCAACACATGTCCTTTGTTGTTCTCATAGTGGTTGAGTCCAGGACTCGTGCCTACATGCAACCGCAAACATCTCTGAAAGGGGGATCATCCGAAAGCCTTCCAGTTGTTCTGGGATCTTTTTGGACTATGTATACAAAACGGTGGCCACTAGTCACTAGTTCATGGCATTGGGGCTCGGCACCAATTGGCGATGCCTTGGGCATCAGGGAAATTGAAACTCAACTGAGGCCATGTTGAGAGCCGCCGTGTCAGAAGCGCCTGCCAGTTGCTGGGCACCGCACTTCTCGCAGAAGCGGGCCGCGTGGTGAATCTCGTGCCCACAGCTACTGCAAAACTTCTCCATCGATTGCGGCTCCGGAGCTTCGACCGTGGCAACCAGCACCACCTCTGCGATCACGGGAGCTACGCCGGGAGCTCCGGGAGCTGCGATGCCAGCAAGTTCTCGGGCGCGGGCCTCGATCTTCATCTCCTCGGCCTTTTGCGACACCTTGCGCTTCTCCTGCTCCATTTGTTGTCGGGCACGCACGTTGTTTGGCAGCACGCTCCTTGGCCGCAGCAAGTTCGGGTGTTGAAGGAAGCCAGCGGACCACCTCCTTCGTGGTGATGACGACGCAATTGCCAATCATTCCATATGTGTCTCCCACGTAATCCCTCAAGGGTTCCTCCGAGTCCACGTTTCCATCCCTACTTCGCTAAAACTTCTCTGACCCTCTCCCTGTGCTTCATGTGTTTGCAGCAGACAAGGCTGCACGGGATACCGGCCACTGGCGCCGCCGTGAGAAGGGGGACGCACACAATACAGCACCAAATCCGGTTGCATTGTTGCGGATCTTCGGTGTCCCACGGCCGCTCTCTGAGATCTCTTGCAGCATCAACTCGTAGGTCTCCTTACGGATATGCTCACTCATGTGGTCTTGCGGTGGGAACTTGTGATAACTCTTGGAGGACTGGAGGTAACCCACATTGAAGTAGAGCTCCTCGGGCCTTGCAGCACCATTGCAAAGGGACTCGAGAAAGAAATTTGAGCCAAAATGGCGACTGGAGGGGATTGACCCAGCTGTGAGACCTGCGTGAACCAGAGCTTGTACCATATCTTCAAAAGGCGGAACAAGTCAGCGAACTAACATGATAGACGTGAGCAGAAGTGATGAAGTGGGAATCAGCAACGCAGGGTGGCTCTCGGTGTCCTAGGTGACCAATAGGAGCCAACTTGAAGCCAAGACGTTGCGCAACAAGCGTCCTGCTGCTGTATGACACATTGCCTTTTGCATGGTTACGCAACACTCAACGGAATAGGAACATCGCGAAAGAACACTCTGACCACTGCATCGGCAAAGCCGCGGCCCTGTTCTTGTTTCGGGCCCACAAAAACCCATCATCTAGCACCATGACATCTGTTCTCAACTCTCAACCCTACACCCCAACCCAGAATCTGAACATCAAGTCCGAAGCTCCCTGAAGAAAGGACACCTCGGCTTGCCCCTGGAAGCTTTTGGAGGAAGCCTCTCAGAGCAAGACTCTGCAGCGGCCGACACTAGTAGCAGTAGTACCAGTTATGTAGGAGTGGTGAGTAATATTCACCTGCAGAGTCGGAGTACAAGGTGGCAACAGAAGTACGAACAGCAGTACCAGCAGTTGTACACATCGGCAGACAAAGATTTAGTGAGCCCATACACACCTAAACACAAAGCCAAAAGGTCCAGGCACAGCAATGCCGCAAAAGAAAGGTGCCATGAAGTCGTGTCCCAAACAAGCGATGCCTATCTGCGCCGACATCATTGATGCTGGTCGTGTACACTTGCGACTGCTTTTTTTGTTGGATGCGCGGAAGACGTCCCTTTGCCTCGAGGTTATTCTTCTGCAGCCCTTGCTCCGCCAGCGCCTCAAACTCCAGCAGAGCAGGGGTTGAAACAGTGCAAGCAGTAGCAGAGTCTAGCCCGTACCTAGAAGCCATGGTTTATGTCAACTCCTGGGGCGCTGTTTTGCCTTCCTTGCAGGCCAGGCGGTTTTCAAGGTCTTCGGCAATCTCCTCTTGCAGGCCACAGCCGCTTTCTTAGTTTCTTCGTGCGCATGGCCGATGACCGAGAAGCAAGTGAGGAGTGCCGAAACAAAAACCGGTACACCAACTACGGCACAAATCCGTCAACACGCAACTCGCGCAGCTCCAAGCTGGCGCTGGCCGCCAGGCCGAGGCTTCCACGCGGATATCGTCACAGTCCGTCGGGCCGTCGAGTCGCTGTGCGACGCCGCGCCGTGTGCTTTCAGACGGCCCCTGGGCCTTCCCCGCCCTGATCGCCCTGCGCATCTCCAAGGAGGCGCTCTCGGCCAGTCCAGAAGGCCACGCTCGCGCTCGCGCTCTTGGTTCACGTTCTGTGTCCGGGACTTCGGGGACTGACTCGATTGCCTAAGTATCCATGCCTGCTGCTGCCTTGATCAGGTAGAGCGCGTGAGTCAGATGGAATCGAAATCTGGTGCTCCAGGGCAGCTGCCAAACCCAGGGTCGCTGAGTAGCCAGGATGGCCAGAAGTAGCCTCAGGTATCAGGACCTGCTACGCTACGGGGAGGGACTAACTTTCGTCAGAGAGCAACGGAAAAGTACACAACCGAGCCCGCAACATTGGGATCGCCTCTGGCTTCTGTGCCTCCATCGTGGGCCACCACTCTGTTTGTCCAAGCTGTTGCGGCGTGGGGTCCTCGCCCACCTCCCACTGAGTACCGTGCTTCAACACCTCCAAAAAGCTCTCCGGCTCAACAGCCAAAAAGGAGCTGCCGGAGTTTCGGTGCTCGGGTTCCGTGGCCTCCACATCTACTGGCCCCTCCGCGCGTGATGCCGAGGTGAAAGTGGGAGAGTTCTGCATCAGCCAATTGGCCAGAGGACAGCATATGATGGTAGCCTGCATCTCCATGCCGGCCAGTGCCTGCCCTCCATCTGCCAAGGGATCGCTGAATTCAACCGACCGCGGACAACCTTCAAACTCCCAGGCCCAAAGGGTGTTGCACTCAACACACCTGCCCTGGGCAAGGTCAGCAATGCAGAGAAAAAGCCGAAGCCATTGCTTCCATGAGCCCTCGGAGCCGTCCTCGGCCTCGTCCGCCTCGAGATCCCCTGGGAAGAAGCGGTCCAGCACAGCTTTTGGCCCCGAAAGCTGCCCCACCAACTTGGCATCGGCACCTCGGCCTCGGCCACCACTCCAGCCTTCGATCTCGTCTGCATGGCAGGTCTCCAGCAACGCCGACAGAACCGAATAGACCAGCTTGGCCCGGGTAGAAGGGACTTCCCTGCTCCTCTTCAGAAGCGTAAATGCCAAGCCCAGGGCCAAACGCGGGGACGGGGCCAGGTCCAGAGTTCGAAGTTCGCCTTCCTCTGAGCTAGTCGCCACCTGCAGTGCTTACTGAAAAAAATGCCCTTCTGAATCCTGGGCTTTGGGGGTCTACCGCAGGAATTTTCTCCGTGCATCGAGCGAGCAAACCCCAAACCCAAGCAGCTTGTTTCATGCGATGCTGCTATAACTTTGGGCTCAGCTGCCGTGGCTCCACGTAGCAACAGTGCCAGGAGGCCCTGCGTCAGCCGGCTGTCCCCGAAGTGCAGGAGCCCTCGCTGGCGGCTCTCAGATGCTCCGCATATCAAGCTCGCTCCGACACAACCGACTTCGGCTTTTGCTTGTGGCTACAGCTTCTGACCGAGAGCAGCAGCTTACTGACCGGCTTAGCACAGGGAGAAGCCAAAGCCAGCTTTCGTGTGAACACACATGCTTGCTTCGGCACTCTTGGTTGCAAGCATCGGGGTGGGCGCACACAACATGGTCAGGTTTCTTTCGGTTGATTCAGCTTGTTGCGACTTTGCTGTAAGTTCCAACTCGGTTGCTCTACAGTTTGCTTCGCAGAGCCTTTCCCTGAAAGCATGGTATGACAACAGCCCAAGGAGCTGCCGCAAAGACTCCTTAAAGTAGACTCTTCCAGTCTTGGCCAAAGGCAGCTCCCATCATCCCCCGGTGCCTGCTGCCCAGGACTGTGAACAGAAGCTGTCTTGCAGTGGCCCTTGGGCAGCCATCTGGCTAAGCCTCGGGCAGACAAAGGAAACAAGCTTAACTGCTGCTGCGCCCACACAGCAGCCCCATCCAGACCAATGGCTGGTCATGTTGTATGATTTCATCCGACATCTGAGTTTTGAGAGTGGACAGCGAGGAGTGTGTTGGCATGTGCTCTACGCTCACAAAACAGTACGCTATACAGTCATGAGGTTTTTAAGCGAAAGGCAGTCTGGAGCCAGAAGTGCTTAATTGATGAGAGATGGGATCTACTTTTGCGTGTGAGATCGCCGCCCAACCAAGCAGCGGGGCTTTTGGCTGGGACCACAAAAATCTTCCAAGCCGGGCCACAATAGCAGCCGGGCCGTCCAGCAGCCTCGAAGTATGCGAGCCTGGTGTTGCAAGAGCGGGTGAACGTGGCGAGCTATGAGAGATCCGAAACCTGCTGCAAGCCACTGCGCTGCTAAATGTCTCGAAGCACTAGCAGCGGGGACCATGCAGAGACCCCCCAAAATGTGAGGCTTACAGCATCTGGTACAAACGTGGCCTCACGTGCAGGATGAGGCGGCGCAAGCCTCAGCTGCTGCAAAAATCATCGCACAACATGGTTCTGAAGTCGTTGCCTTGCGGAACATTTGGTGGAAGGCACTTGGTCGATTCGAGCATTCTCTGGATCATGCCGTTGATCTTTAAGCTCAGCCGAGAAAATACAGCAACCCCTGCACCCAGCTTGCTACAGCCGTGCTTCATTCAAAGCTGCACTGGACGGAAAGCTGGCTAGCACCCCTCTTCTCCGGCCACGCATGAAAATGCGGCAGCCTCCTGGAACTTATGTTCGAATCCTCCGCCCAGGTTCGGGGGAGCACGTGGACTGGACTCCACTGGCTCGGAGGCTGAGGGCGCCCGGACCTCGCCTGAGCGTGCTGTGAAGACGGTTCACACACAAAGGATCCCAGTAGAGTGGAGCATGTAATCCCCAACACCCTCCATCATTGGCACACGGCCAGACGTCCCTGTTGGACAGATGATGTTGAGACGAATTGCTCCAAGGTGTCGACCGAGTAGTCCGTGCATTAACATAGAAAGGAGCCAGTTGCCAGCTGTTCAGCAAGCACCTAGTAGCAAATACTGCCCAGCTGACCGTAACTAGGTTCAGGGCCAGCAAAAAAGCAGAAGGACGGGGCCAAGGAACAAACTTTCAGAAACGTGGTAGTGGCTTTGTCTTCCCAAGCTGTGCACATGAGCAGCTAGGAGAGATGGCAATGCTGCCTTTACCCCCGTAAGGGTCCAAGGTCAGCATGATGCAAACGGCTGTTGGGTTGATCGCACTCTTCACTCGCCATAGACGCTCACCACAAACAGACGATCCATGCGGTACAACAGTACGACATGCCAGATGCAGATGCAGCCATGGTGCACGCGGGCGCTGGGATACCACAGAGGCATTGGGAAGAGTGCGAAACGAGACAGCAAGAAAGCAGCGAGAATCCGCCTGTACTTGCATTCGTGCGAAACGGGCTACCGTGACACCATACTCATGCGATACACAGAAACACAGACCCTGTCGGGAAAACATTGGGCTGGGATAAACTGTCAAGTAACAAAGGACTCTGAACAGGGGACTCCCCTTCTCCCTTCAGCGGAGCGAGTGGCGCAGTTGCGCCAGCCACCATGCATCGAAAGCCTTCGTGCATTGCATCTTGCAGTATCGCAAAGTAAGTTTTTGCACTGTAGACCCACTGCACTTACGAGCTTCGCGTACCCATCCTACAAATAATCTGCGCAAACACGCCGAAGTGAAACATCCCACGGGCCTGCTGGACCTCGTCCGCCAGCTCTGCAAAGCTTACTGGTGGTTTCCCACGCGCACCACTGACCTTAGTGAGGTTGGTGACAAACCGTCTCGATTTCTGACGTCCGGCGTTCGCACAGGAAAGCTAGATATGGAAAGTCAGCTTGCTTCTTCTCCATGATGTGACTTCTGATGTTGCACATGGAGCTGCCAGCTACATGTATCTGACCTTCACTCGAGATCACATCAAGCATTCGCTCAACACTAGAATCCAAGGGGCAATCAATGTCACGTGATCATGCACCCACGTCTGCCACGCCACTCCGCGCATGTCCCTGCACTAGCAAAGAACAAGAATTACATATCGGCCACGGAAATCTATCAGCTCAAAAATTCGCGTACCTATGCGGCGCAGACACTGCTAAGCTGGAAGGGCAATTATGTGACTGGGTGCTCGATACTGGAGATGAATAACCGTCGAATTCGGCAGTAACATGTTTCGAACCTGTTTAACCAGGTTCCCCCAGTTGCTTTACCAGTTCCGGCCGGATTGGTCTGACATGGAGGCCACGTGCCCAGCAGACTCCGGCAACGTGTGTAGATGTATGAAGCATCCACAGGATTCCATGGGTCATTGCATGCCTTGGACTTTCGGCTAATTCTAAGGCAATCCAAAGACTTCGCTGGCAAGACGCTAGCTAGCGTAGGAGATGACCTTTGACTTGCGGATGTAGTGATCGAAACAGCAGTCGGCAGTTGCCTTGGACCCGTCGACTTGGGGCTGCGAGGGCCTCGCTTGTACCTGACTCAAGTCATAGCCGCAAAGCGGAATGCAGGAGCAGACATGAGTTGAACAGAGTATGCGGGCGCAGAAGTGGGATTAGAAGGCTCTGGAACCTCGAGCAGGAATCGCTGCAAGGCATCTCTTCCATAGGCTCCCACTGCTGTGCCAGCTGAAGACAACCAGAGCTCGTGCAAGCCCGAACAAAAACTCAGCAGCGGCACTCGGTGGGCCCGTCACGAAAAGCGCGGCAGTGCAGAACGACCTGCAAACACGAGAGTTGATCACAGATCGAACGGGAAGCAAGCTAGGCCCCGCTTTCACAGAACAGTTGTGGATGAAGGCATGGGCTCCCAAGCAGTTGCGCGTACAGACTCAAGACTGGCCGAGAGCAGCATATGCAACATGTACAAGGGTAGTCATGTCTGAAGAGGGACATGCTCGACTGTGTTTGACACTGTGTGCTCAACGGAGTCATGGGTGACTTTTCAATGCGCCGCCCTCTGCACCCATAAGATGAACCCTGTTTTGGAAAGGGTGGAAGGTCCATTTATGTGCCGAGCAGCCAGCAGCATCACCACCAGGGACAGGAAGCCAGCGACATCCGAGAGTCCGGCGGGCGGATGTCCGGACTCAGCTCCCTGCACTCTCGGGCAGTCTCTACACAATAATATATAATACTAATTTATCATCAAATGATGCTATTACATCATTTGATAAGAAAACGCTGGCTTTGGAAGCAATCGTGATTTGAGGCCGCAGGCGCGAGCTCAAGGCCCAAAGCCTCAAAACATGGCGCTTGTGTCGGGCCTCCTCGTCCCAATCACGTCCTGACATGCCATGGAGCGCCGCAAGGCGCCCCGCCACCTGCAGCAGAGCATGGCTAGAAAGCTGGCTTCGTGATGTGTTCTGCCACACATCGTAGAAAGACGATCGGCCACAACGTGCCCCTGCCCACTCTTCTTCCAGGCTGCCTGCGGCCAGTGTGGCATCAGCACCTCCAAACGACGTGAGGGGACGGGTCGACAGGCGAGCACAACACGCGGGTCTAACACGCTGCGTCTGCAATGTCTGCAAGGCAGACTTGCTAAGTGTACTAAAAAGCATCTGTGAGATCACTAGCAAAGCCATGGCCTGCAGGATGCCAGGAGCCACCTCTTGCATCGTCCCGGTGTGCTGCCCCAGGTCGCCTCAGGACGCAGTTCTGTCTGCCGCCTAACTGACCATCGTGGGGTTCCTTTTTGAAACCGGACTTGATGACTGCCAGCGTGGGGTCTTACTTGGGGAAAGCTGACGGAAAGGACAGCTCAGCGCTGCAGCGTATTGAGTGTAGCTTGACGAGCACCTCAAGACTAACCGTGGCAATCATGCTCTGGCTTTCTTCGCCGCCTACGCACGAGCCTCGCAGCCAATCCAGGCATCAAGCAATGCTAGTTTAGTACACCCGCCAACCCTGCCTAAGGACTTCATATATCTTCATATCGTCAGTGCACGCAAGGATCAATTGCACAGGGTTAGAGATAACGCCCCCGCGTTGTATGTAGGCTTCAGAGTTTCGACCTGTGGCCGTGATCCACGACCAGGCATTGCACAAAACAGTCTTCCAAGACGACCTAGCCTCACCTCTGAAGAGCCACAACATACATTCTCAGATCATGCCAGCATCACAGGCAGCAATGTGATGCTGTTGGGGGCGTGATGTCTACTAACTTCACAATATGCTCTGCCACTACGTACTTGCTAACTAGGCGCGGTCTTGACGAAAAAATCGCTTCAAGGCCGGATTCAGGGTTTCTGCGCTGGCACCCTGAACGTTGTTCAGCTCTACAGCTATCATTACCGGTAGCCATTAATCGAATTATGGCCCTAGATCATCCCGAGGTTGAAGAGTTTGCTGAGATCACGCAGCCCGAATCGTGTTCTGCCAGTTTAGTTTGAAGCCGCACAGTCGGGCGGTGGCTTGATTCTTTGTAACTTTGCAGTGGTTTTCGGGTCAAGCTTGCCTCGTGCCATTGACAATGGCACGGCTTAGGCTTTATTGAAGTCCTCAGGACACTCAGACCCACGAGTTGCATCTGCGGGCTGCTCGAAGCTAGGGTTTTCGCCAAGGTACATGTGGGAGAAGAGACTTTGGGTATGTCATTGCTGCTAGTAAGGTCAAGAACGCCTACTACACTTGACGGAAGAGATTTCAACCCGTTCCCCGAATCCTCCTCGACCAAGCCGAGCATCTGAAGCACTCCAGCAGCACTCGCAAGGGCACCTTTCTCCCCATGATGGCGAAACTTGTAAAACACAGGAAAAGGCCGATCTCCCGAATAAGCGTACAGCTGCTTTGCCTATGCAAATAGTGGAAACGAGCCTCTCCAAAGACATTCCAGCATACTGTTGTTGGCGACCACACAGCATACCCTACTCCGTCTAATTCTGACTGCCGTGCTGCACAGTTATAGTCCGTCTCTGTCAGGGCAGACACCATTGAAAGATAGTACGAATGAGCCCAGCACCCCTGTGCTCGAGCGACGTCCCCACAGGGCCAGTGCCGAACGAACTTCTTTTGCACCGATTTCTTCCCACCTGCATCCCAGGATTGCTGTGCCCGCAGAGACCGCATTACGGTTGAAGAATATATATGTGGGATGAGGCAAAAAATGCTCGAGGCGAAGGCAGATTCAAGTGCTCCAAATTCCACCAGCGTCCGGCCTCTAGGGCTCCCTTGCAAAAACGATGTGGTTTGCTTGTGGCCATTTTTGGGCAGGGACTGTTATGCCCTAGAAGCCCTGAACCTGCAACCACTGTTTGGGATCGGCCGTCAGATGCCTGTAGCTGCCTGTGCAAGACAAGCAAGCAGCTTGCTACAACAGAGGCCCCTTGAGGGTTCGGGGTGGCAGCCACCGACCTGCCGGACAGCACCTTCCGCCCTGCATCAAGTAGCAGCGCGTCAATGTCCACCTCAGGTGCCAGGGGGCCACGTTTCTGCACTACTTCTCCGAAGTATGACAAGGATTCCAGCCAAAAGTATGCGGCACCCTCGTCTGTTCCCTTGTCGAACACGGTCACCACTGCTACTCGCATACATTTTCAGAAACCCTATCCCCGCACACCCGAGAGTGCTTCCATGGCGCATCTAAGGCCCAGCACAGCAGCGGAAGCACAGCTTCAAGGTCCATCCGAGGCACTTCATGCGGAATGCCTGCAGGGCCAGTCCAACCCAAATCCATGTCGCTTTACTTTTGTATACCTTTTGATCCTGTTGGTAATGGGGATGGCGCGCAGGGAAATGCAGTGAAACGTAAGCTGCAATCCGTCCATCCTGAACCTCGCCTTCCTGAATCTCCGGAGGTTCCGCAGCATCAGCTTCTTGTGTCAGCATGGGCAGCGCCGCCACCGACTCCGACCTCGGCAAGCACAAGGCGCTTCGCAGCCCCACTTGCTGATCTCGCGCCCACAAAATGTGTCGGAGACAAACCATTGCGGCCAAGTGCTGCAGGATTTCACAAACCTTCTCCGGCGAAGCAGACAGCCGGAAAACTTCGTTCATGGTCCACATGAAGGCCAACGTTGTTTCCCTGTGCACACATGAGGTAGATGCTGCAAGTCGACCATGATGTGAGAGCTTGCGCGTGCCTAGCCTTATGTCACCTGCTCAAGCTACTTACCCTCATCCTGTCTGCCCTGCCTCCCATCCTCACCGGACCAGGAGGGATATGCCGAGGAGGCGCCGACGATGCGGCCGGGAACCTCCAACTCTTGCACCTGGCTGGGATGCTAAGCTCGCCGTGGGTCAGCCAAGTGCAATGCCTGTTTCTGCAGGCGCAAGAGCGAAAGTCAACAAATACTACCTCTTATTATACTCTTAGAGCACGTGGAAGCCGTAGGCCGTGCCCATTGAAGGCTGAAGTGTCTTGCGGCCCAAGTACGACAATGTTGACGGGCCCGCTGCGGGCTGCAAAGTACGGCTGTGGCTTAGCCGTCGTCAGCAGCACCTGAGATGCCATCGACACGTGATGAGTTGCTCGAATGGCGGCAACTGCCCGCATGTAGAGGTTAAGTTGAAGATTTGCATTTAGCAGGCTTCGGCTCCCTTTTCGGCATGCTGGCCTCCACCAGCAAGCGGACGACCGAGGGTGAAAGCTCTGCAGGAAACAGCCGCTGCCAGAGAAACCAAGGCCCACTGAAAGCCACTCTCTGCAAAGGAAAAGGACCGTGAAAGCTTAAGGCTTACAACAAAGTGTTGCAGTTGCAGTGGGATGGGGAAACACTCCTCGAGTAGATGCAACACTTGTGGCAACCAGCTGTCTCTGCTTGTCTGCCCCAGAAAACCTGCAGCCTCGATAAAAAAAACAAAAACTCAATGAGGTAGTGGCGCTGAAGACGCCGGCAATTTTATTGCTGCGGCGAAGCCAACCCTGACAAGTCAACCTGAGAAATACCACCCATCTGGAATCTAGAAGGCCAATCGCCTCGAAGTGTATGGCTTTCCATGACGAACCCTCATCCTTCAATGACAATTTGCCACTACATGCTTGAACATGAATTGACTTGGCAAGGTTCAAGGCTCTTCGATTCGGCTCCGCCCAAGTGGAGAACCTCGGACTTCAGCCCCGGATACCATGCAACTGCTGGTAAGTGCAAGGATGTTGTCCACATTCGTGGAGGAGATGTCTGTGCATGCAAGAAGCTTTTTACAACAGAGTACTAGTTGAACATACTTTTATTTGATTACATTGTATTGTCTTGTGCTGTCTTGTTTGTAGCAATCTACTACTGTATACATATGTGTGTATACATATATATATGTGTGTATATACACTCTATTCAATTACATAACTATCTAATATAGACATGTATGTATGTATGCATGTATGTATGTATGCATGTGTGTATGTATGTACGTATGTGTACGTATATGTACATACACATTAAAAAGAAATCTACATGCACACATATATATATATATATAATATTTATCTAATTATTTACATACCTATATATATATATATATATCTACATATCATGATATAAACGCATAGACACCAATATGTATGTATCCACAACTATCAGGCGGCTAGCGTCAGGGACCCGGGCGCTAAATGATAACGTGCAAAGAAAAATCCTCTAGTCAGGCAGGCAGCTGCATACATGAAACAGTACTGAGCAACAGATAGATGCGACAAGTCCTGAATCTGAATACAGTCAGTCACTCCCTAGCATTGTCATCTTCATGGTCTCGGCCACCATCACCACCGCAAGTGGCATTCCTAGTGTCACCATCCAGTTGTATAAGTTAGTTCTGTGGTTCTCATCATTATTAGCAGCATTAGCGTCTGCGGTTGCTTGGCTCCTCGTGCCTCACCTCCTGACATGCGAACAAGGCACCGACAGGAACAGGCCACCGCCGAGAATAAGCACTAGATCCACCAGCCTCCGGCCTGGCAAGCCGGGGATGTCTGCGGCCGTTTGGCCTAGATCTTAAGACCTCGACAGGTATGCCCGGTTCCATATGATGGCGATAGCCTCGTCGTGAAATGGTGCCTTCCTATGTTTTTGGCACACGACAGTGTGCACACTCAGGGTGGAAGGCTTCTTGTGGCACCCCCAAGCATATAGTGATCACGCCGTCACGGTCACATCCGCTTGGCACTGGCATGCACAGGCGCCTGCTGCGCTAGGTGGGGCTGCACTGATCGGCAAATCCACACGAGCCAGTGGATCCTGATTGGAAATCAAGGCTTCAGTGACTTCAGTGCCAAGACAATACCGGAAACATTCGGCCACGATTATGTAAGAAGCCGTCGGAAATGTATACACGCGAGAAGAGCAGGGTCCTCCGGGAAGGACGGCAATGAAAGCAGCATGCTCAGTTGGTGGTCTCCACCATCTGCAGGATCTGCCTCATCCACGAGCATTCCCAAGACTTCGTTCTCGCGTTCCAGCACCGCTTCACTTCGCCCCCGCTTCACAACCAGGAGCATGTACAGCGTCGGCATTCCAGTCCTCAGTGCTGCTATCATAAGTACTCGTTGCTGTTCTTGTTGGCTCTTGTTAAGTGTTCCGCTCGGATGACGACTACTCTTACCACTGCTGTGCAGGGTGGCATGCGTACAGACAGTTCTGTTGGCATTCGTGCTGTTGCTGCCGCTTTCCTAATGCCGACGTGATCAGATCAGGGGTCGTCCTACCACTGCCATTGCCGCTATGACGATGACGACATCGACGACGACTGCTACCAGTTGCTACCACTTCTCTGGTATAGGCAGAACTGGTGTGCTGCCCATGCTTTTGTCTGCTTCTTATTACCATTCTTAACATGATGCAGGCGCAGGAACGATCATCAGTTCAACGTTGGCAATGCAAAGGCCGTGCAGCACCAGACCCCAGGATTGTATATGATTGTATGCAGTATCCTATACGAACCCTCTCTCACTCTCGTGCAGTCTCTACGCAAACCTTAGAAGCTTTAAAACTTTAAAGGAAACCCACCATCCCTGCCAGTTCTGTTGTTCCTGCATGTCTTTCCATAATGCCCGCGGCACTGCTATCTCTAGTACTGATGCTCCAGTTGCGGCGCTTCATCTTCTTGATGCTGCTGCGACGGCTCAAGTTCGTCCAAGTCTCAAGGGCTCGAGCTCGAAGTGCTCGCTGGAAGAGGTTGGGAGCGCCTTGACAGACTCCCAAAGCTCCAGAGCGTGTATGTAGGGCTTTGAGGTTTCAAGGTCTAGGTCTGCGCTCACACCTCAGAAAGAGAGAAGCTCTGTCAGGGATGGTACAGCGCCTGGCCCTCGGTAATGCTCCACTCCAGTTTCCGCGGCTCCGCTCCGTCGTTGCTTTTCCAGGCAGGCCTCTCCTCTGTTGTGACTGCTTTGGTATTTGGCCGGAGGGTGCAGATCTACTGTGTACTTCCATGGGCGACAGTAGCAAAACCAATCAACCGACACGTGTGTGGAGAGTTGCTAACAGGTTTACTGCTGTTCGCCGTGTGCAACCGCCACCGGCTTCTTGTCGAATGGACCGAACTACTGATGATGTCCATAGGCAAGCTGGGGCTTTAGGAAGGGAAAGCCGCAACGGGTACCAAAGCCGGCCCAGGTTCGATCGTGGTGGCCAGGAGAAGCTTCCAGTGCTTAGGCTCCGCAGTGGTCTCGATCAGCAGCCACTCTTGACAGTGGTATTTGCAGAGCTGGAGCCCTACGATGGGAGCCAAATTGAAATGCCGGACTTCCGTCTGACTGGCAACATCCACGATCGCAAGGCAACCAGATAGGGAGCCGACGATCAAGTGATGCCTTATGAGCCGAATGCTGCTGCAGGATGCCTCATTCGCGTCCATGGCTTCTCCAGCAGGTTGCGACTCCCTGGCCCACCACTTGATGGACGTGATCGCATCACCATCACGGCAAACAGACGGCACCTGGCAATTCCGGTCTCGATTCGTGGCGCAGTGCCAGGGAGGCCCTGAAATGCTTGGGCTCGAAACAGGCTCAAGGAAACCAAAAGCCCAAAGTATCAAGTCCGTTTCGGTCTGCCTGAAAGCGGGAGGGGCCAGCAACCGGAAGACCAGGACCAAGGCCTCCAAAGAAATCCGTCAGCATTTCCTCAGTGATACTCGGGGCCAGGGGGGGAGCTGAATCGAGGGGTTTTCTGCGCCTGCAGCTAGGTCGACCACCGCTGGGCACAAGGGCTGCCTTTGTTATGTGCCGGATTGCCAACTCGTTCAGAATTTGAATAGGGCAATAGGGTGAACGTCCCGAAATTTCTCCGGTCATACTGGACTAGTTTAGTCAGTGACACGTCAACCGCCTTACCGTACCATATCAACCACTCCTTCAGCTTCTTCCCGTGCTCTGGCAACTCATGCTTTTCCTGTCGCATCAAGGTGCTGTACCTCATTGCGGTCCGAGTGCACTCAGATCGAGCACAGCTAAGGGCTAGCAGCTAACACAAACGCCTCTTCTTATGGCGAACTCCGAGCAAAAAACGAAACAGCTGTCCGGCAAGACACGGGTCCTCCAGAATGATCCCATCGAGCCTGTCACGCTGTTGCGCCAGGAGTTCACAGTCCCTGGCTTGGATCATGCTAAGACAGGCGTGCTCCAGGCGACCGTGGGTGCCGATGACCTGCCCGAAGAAAGACAAGGCATTGTCAGCGCACAGTAGGCCCACCAGCTCGCTCTCCGCCTTGTCCACCAGCCCAGGCAGGCCCCAGCGGTCAGCAAGGCCCCGAACCGAAAATGCCAACCCTGTATCGCCGTGTGCATCGAAGCAATTGGACATCAGGAATGCAAGGACCGAGCTCAAAGAGCGGTTGTCCACTTGTGGATCAGAGGTCAAATCGATTTCATTCGTCCGTCCTTCCTTCCAGCGCGCTTCCGACATCATCTGCCTGAAGTGCTCGGAGCGGGCCATAAGCACGCGCTTGTCGAAATGCAGGGGTGGCGAATCGCGTAGGTGGAATGTCACAAAGGAAGGCTCTTGCGTCAAATCTACAGAAGAGACAGGGGCTTCAGCATAAAAGGTTGGGCGAGCAGATGAACCAGGCAGTGGCAATTTCGCAGACGCTTCTATGACAATCTCCCCATTCTCATTCAACCAGCCGGTTTCATCGTCGAGACGCGACAATCGCAGAAAGTCTGGCCATCCAAAGTTATCAAACTCTCTGGTGAATGTATGCACGTCAAGGAATCTAGCACGACACTCCTTGCGAGTGCTGCTGCTTTGCCGTATGGCTGCGATCTCAAACTCAAGATCGGGGCACGACCAATCTGTTCTCTCGTCGTCTTCTCTGTCAGGTGCTATCTGAAGGTACGCACTCATGCTCTCATAGTCTCGTTCCTCAATGCCTTGCGGATATACACGCAAACACATCTGAAACGAGCCGTCGCAACCCACCCAGTCGGAGACGACACACTCCCCCACGTCGTAGCTTCTGCAATTTCGAACAGCCACTTCGACCCTGTACCACGCCATGGCAGGCAGAGCTCTGACTGGGTCTGTACGGAAGCACAGTCCAGACGCGAAGAGAAGAGCTCAGAGCCGAATATTTACTTGCGAGCTTCTCGGAGGGGAGTTGTCGGCTCTGACAGGGTTTCGGTGGCCGACAATCAGGTTTTGTGCGGTAGCACAAGGTAGAGACAAGCTCAAGTACCTGACCCGATGCCGCAAGTATGGTGCGCACACTCAGACATTCCAACTGTGCATGGGGTGCAACATATTCCAGTTTGCATCCGTCCTGCTGCAAGTTCAGAAACATCACCACAAACCGGTTATCTCAACCAAACTTCAATCCGCCAGCCGACGAGACACTTGGTCAAAGCGAGTGCTCATCTGAGTTGAGTAAGGCGCTTTACTAAACACAAAAAAGCCGCGACACATTGACAGCTGCTAAATCTGCCCAAGGATCGCCGCCACCAAGACCCATGGACGACCAAGCGCTTGCGACACTGGAAATGGCACCCTTGACGGGGTCCTGGTTGGACTCTCAAAGTGCACGCGCACAGTTCAACAGCTTGCCAATAAAGCATTCGATCGGGGACTGGGCCTTGCATTTGCACGCCTATGCATCACAAATAGAAGCATATCTGCTCACAATGGCCTATCCAAAGCAGCAAGGTCACCAGCATTTAAAACATGTAGCTAATCGACCCACACTTAGACGGCACACCTACTTGCACACATGCTCGGGCCGGAGGAGGGTGAGAGAAACCACGTGTGACATCTTGGGCGTTCGACTTCAGCAAGCGCCGAGAGTGGATACCCAAAATCTCAGGCTCGGCCGATTCTCACACTTGCATTGACTTGCACTACTTGCACGCTCATGCATGCACACACAGAGACACACCCCCACCGAGAGACACACACACACACGCACTCTCTCTCTCT